ATGAAGGGAAGAGTCCCGAGGGCTTGTGAGCTTTCACATGCTCTCAAATTAGAGCAGACAGATTCACATAAAGGGATACCCGTGCCTTTCTGTGTTGATGGGTCCAAGCGATTTAGGCTGGAAGCTATATGCTCCTGTGCAAGCTCGAGTCTAGGCACCGATCAATGAGGAGTTCTACATACTTCTAGCAATATGATGTATAGCAGTGGGGGGGGGGTAGACCGGGCAGATAGAGGGGCAGACGGATGGGAGGACAGAAAGGGGACAGAGGACAAGGAAGGAGGAATGAAATCCCTCAGGTCACCACGTGCCCACGGGTGGGGGAGTTGTGGGTACGAGTCTGTCTCCCCCACCAGAAAGAATGTGCGTGGGCTGAGGCCGAGGTCACTGCCGTGTCCGTGGTGCCTGGAGCAGGAGCAGGCACAGAGCAGGCATCCCATGACACGGCTGCTGAATGAATGAATGAATGAATGAATGAATGAATGAGGTGTGTGCCATGCACCCGGCTCACTTGAACAAGAGTAACAATACAGCTGGCACGTGGTGCCAGGCACAGTCCCAGGGCACTAAGCAATGAAGGCGTAACTCCAGCCACCGTACCAGGCAGGTGCTATAATTACCCTCATTTCGCAGGTGAAAACGAGTCACAGACTGAACTCATTTGCCTAAGGACGCCGAGCCAGGAAGCGGCAGAGAGGGCATCCGAACCCAGACATCTGGCTAAGGCACATGCCGCCCCTTAGCTCTCCCACTGTTATGATTATCATGTGTTCCCTCGGGTGTGGGGCCAGGGTGTGGGGTGGGTGACCAGCCACACAAGGCCCCGCACAGAGCTCCCAGGTCCCAGTAGGCTCAGTCACATCCCGCAGCTATTGCTGCTTCAAGAGGCAGAGGCATAGCCAACGAGTTGATCCAGCTGTTTCCTGCCTGGAGTTACAGCCACAGGCATCCGTCATGTGTTTCCAGGCTACAGAGTAGCCATCCGGGTCCCAGGACACCCCATCTGACCTCCACGCATGGATCCAGCAGCATGTCCCACAGCAGAGACAGCTGGGAAGGGAGGTCAGGAGCCCTGGGCAGGACAGAAAGGGGAGGAGGCCAGGGCAGGAAGGAGAGGTCCCCCGTCTGTCATACTCCACTGTGTTACGTCAGATAAAGGAAAAGTCCCTCTCTGGGCCTGTGTCCTTCCTCATCTGTAACACAGGGAGGGAACCCACCTCCCACAGGCCCCAAGCACATCTGGAAAGAGTCAGTGGTAAGTCACTGACGCTGGGCTCTCGGTGGTACGACTGGGATGACGGGGAGCTCACTACCTCACCAGACACCAGGTTCCCCCTGGGGATCAGCCCCTGGAGACATTCTGCTCTGGGTCCCCTGAGCTTCTTCCCAAGACTGAGCCCCCTACACGGACCCAGCGGCTGCTCCCAGGGGTCCCTAGGAGCCCCCACAGGCTGCTATCGATCCTGTGTCCACCCATCCCGAGGCCCCGTCCAGGGCTAAATGTCAGCAGAGGCCAGTGCTGACCCATCAGGCCCTGGGGTCTGAGGGACCACGGGTTCTACTCCCACGTCCACCACTTCCCAGCTGTGTGACTTTGGACAAGTCACTCACCCTCTCTGGGCCTCCGTCCCTCCTAGGATGACCATGTAAAGAACCTGGCCCATTGTCTGGAAGGGAGGGGCTATTCCATGCATGCTTGCTGTTATTGAGAAGAATAATAATAACAGTATGGCTGTCTTCCGCGTTACAGGAATTCCTTCTGCTTGGATGCCTAAGTGACTGCCCATCCCCCCACCGATCCGCTGGCCCCGGACGCTCTCCTGCAAAGACCTGACACCCACGTTTTTCACGCTGCACCCCACAGGCCAGCCCGGCCCCACCAGCGCCACATCGGAGCATCTGAGCGGTGCAGCCACCCCAAGATGGTCTCTGCCGGCCCCCCTTCCCTCCCACTCACAAGCCCAGGCCTCTGCGTGTGTGCACGGGGGGAGGTCACAGCTGGGAACCCCGAGGCCCAGGGAGAGAGCCGGGGCCCCTCCAGCTCGGAGCGCGCAGGGGCAGGTGGGCGGACGCGGACGCCCACACCTACCCGGTTCTCGTCGTAGATGATCTGCACGAGGCTGCGATGCTTCGACTCGATGGGCGGCGGCGACACGGGCTTCTCGGGCTCGGGCGGCTTGGCGGCCTCCTCCTCCAGCTGTTGCTGTGGGAAGGAGAGCGCGGTGGTGAGCGCGCCCGGCGGGCGGAAGGAGAGGCAGGCGGAGCGGCGGCCCGGGCTGGTGGCCGCGCACAGGAAGTCAGGCTGCTAACCATTTCCTCTGAGTCACCCGCGGGGACTCCGAGCCCTGCAGGGGCCCTGACAACCCGGTGGGGATGGAAGGGTCCAGCCCGGGGCCCGGCTCCAGCTGCGGGCTCTGCAGCCGGCGGCCTGGGCGTCCCCCCCCCCCGACCTGGGGACCCGGCAGCAAGCTGAGCATCCGCAAGCAGCGTCACCCTGCTGGGCCTCAGTTTTCCCTTCTGTAAAATGGGGCTGATCCCTGTGCCTCCGGAGAGGGCTGCCGGGAGGAAAGGATGAGCGAGGGCGCACGCAGCACTGCCCGGGGCTCGCCAAGAGCCAGCTGCCCTCGCCCTCTCGCTTCCCCACAGGAGCCGGCGTCCCCCGAAGGCTGTGTGGACTCTGGAGCCGGACTGTGGAGCCTGGAGCCCCCTTCCTCCGCCGCCCTACTCTCTGAGCCTCCCTTTCCTCGTTGGGAACATGGGGGTGATCAAAGGTGCTACCCGAGACTCTGCAAAGCACTCGGCACCCGGCAAGTAGCTCTCCGTCATCGCCACCTGCCCCCTGGTCCTCACACTGGCCCCCTCCGAACGCCACCGAGCCCTCCCCATCACGCTGCCGTCCAGCCAGAAGCCGGGCGCCTGCGTGGGCGCACATCTCGGCTCGTTCGAATTAAACTACGCTGCACGCTCAGTTCTCAGCCGCGCACAGTAGGATGACGGCACAGACGTCCCCGCCGTCCCAGAAAGCTCCACGGCACCGCACAGAGCAGCACCCTCGTCCGATGAACGTCAAGGACACAGAACGAGCCGGCACGCGGACCATGCTCAGCCCACACCCACAGCCACGGGGACCGACGTCCCCGTCTCCGTCGCGGCCGCTGGACCAGAGGCCAGAGCCGCCGCCGCCACAGCCCGGCGCCCCACCTGCTTCTTCTTCAGCTTGGAGATCTGCTGCTCCACCATGGTGATCTCGCGGTCCACGCGGTCCATGCTCTGGATCAGCTCCTCCTTGGACAGCCGCGGCGGCACCAGCTCCAGCTCGGGGTCGGCGTGCGGGGGGCTGGGAGGGGACACCGGCTCCAGCTTGCCCGCCAGGCTGCGCTCCTGTGGCCGAGAGAAACGGGCACGGGGTCAGCAGGGGGTCAGCAGGGGGACCCCCAGTCGATGTTCTTGGCTTCACTGAGCATGGGGGTCTCTGTTGCGACTGCTCAGCTCTGATGTTGTGTGAGGAAAGCAGTCACAGACGCGATGTAAACAAACGGACGTGGCTCTGTGCCAATAAAACTTTATTCACAGCAGCAGGCACCCCCGAGGTCCCAGCCCTGGCTGCAGGCCCCAGCACCCGTCCACGGCCTGTCCCAGGGCGGCTCACCCACCGGCCCTGCCTTCGCCCACCCTGGTCCCCCTGCCAGCCGGGCCCTTCCCGCTCATCTGCACAGGGCACAGCCTCCCTGCCCTCCCACGGCGCCTCCTCCCAAGCTCCCCCTCCCCCTCCCCAACACTCACTCCGTCTTGTCCTCCCACCAGACCCACCTGCTCGAGAACAGGCACCAAGACCCCCGACCTCCGCCCCCAGGGCCGGGCCCCGGCGGACCCTGTACGAACACCCATTTTCGATGCTCAGTCTGAACCCGCCAGTGACAGAATATCCCCTCTGGTGCAAACGGAGAAAACGCTAAGAATGGGACGCACCGCCCCAGCCGGCACGGCCCAGTGGTTAGAGTGTTGGCCGGCACACCAAAGGGCCTCGGGTTCGAGTCCTGGTCAAGGGCACATACCTGGGTTACAGGTTCGATCCCCAGTCCCGGTCGGGGAGTGTGCGGGAGGCAACCGATCCATGTGTCTCTCTCACATCGATGTTTCTCTCTTACTCTCCCCCCCACCCCCCCACTTCCACTCTCTCAAAAAAAAAATAAATGGGAAAAATATCCTTGGGTGAGGATTAACAACAAAAAATTCCATTAGCCTCTTTAATTTGTCAGTATTTTTCTGCTTTGTATAATAAAGTTGTTTTTAAAAACCAGTTAAACAAACAAGGGACCCCTTCGCTGGGTTACCCCGACTCCATCCCACCAACTCAAGTTTATTAGCGCTCGCCTTTAGGCCCTTGGTCCAAACCCCCGTCCCCTTGGGCCCCTCCCAGCCCCGTGGCCTCAAGCAGATCACGCACGGCCCCTGCCTCAGTTTCCTCATCTGCGCAATGGGGCCATGCCCACCTTCCAGCCGGGGAGGAGGCGGGAGTGAGCTCACACGTGCAGAGCGCTCAGCTCAGAGCCGGGCGCGTTGTACGCGCTGCATGAGCCCTGGCTGATGGCCCGGCCCCGAGGCCCCGGCTCCAGGCCTGGCAGTGAGGGGGGGACCCAGCCCCCGCTCAGCGCCCGCCCAGCGCCATTCCTCAAGGCCAAGCCGGCAGCTGCAGGCAGGGGGAGGCCCGGCCGGAGGAACTCCAGGCTGCGCCTCCCCGCCCCCACGGCAGCTGCTCAGAAGACAGAGGACACATTATTCCCGGGGACAACTGCAGCCACAGCGGCTGCCAACTGCCTCCCCTCCTGCCCCCGGGACACGGGGACGGCGGGCACCTGACTCCCTCCAGCACCAACCACACCGGCCGAGGCTCGTGTGTTCCAGCCCCTGGGAGCCTTCGCACGGCCCGTGCCCTCTGCCCTGTGCCCCGCCGCGCACCTCCACGCCGGCTGAAACCAGACCCGCAGGCCCCTGGACCGGGAATCAAACCCCTAACCCTTGGGTGGGCGGACTGGAGCTCTAACCACTGAGCCACTGGCCAGGGCCACACGGCCAACCTCGAGCTGTGCGTTTCCCTAACACGGCTCCTTCCACGTGTGCATGTCATCTCGAGCTGTCAGGGTACCGTCCCCGGGGCCAAGTCCTCCCGGAATGGGACGGGACGGGACGGGACGGAGGGAGCCGGCGTGGCCTCCAGGTGGTCCCGATGGCAGCTGCCTTCATTCCAGCCCAAAACTGCGGGAGGGAGACAGCAGACCAGGCCCAGCCGGCTGCCAGGCCGCAGCGGGCACCGGCTTCCCCGCCAGAGGCCTGGCTGTGGGAACGCAGGCCGGCCAGGAGGAGCCCGCACTGTGCGGAATGAGGCGGGGCAGACAGACCCTCGTCCCCGAGCCGGGCAGGGGCCGGTCGGCGAGGGCGTCCAGCTCAGGCAGGGGCCGCGCAGAGGCGAGAGGGAGGCAGCTCTGGGCGGGAAGTGTGGCCTTGAACGTGGGGGGAGTGGACACACCGAGACCACGTGGTGGACAGCAGAGCCTAGAGATCAACAGCCCTGGCCGGCAGGCTCAGTGGTTGGCGTCTCAGCCTGCACACCGGAGGGTTGAGGGTTCGAGACCCGGTCAAGGGCAGGTACCTGGGTTGCAGCTTCCATCCCCGCCCCCTGTCGGGCCACCTATGGGAGGCAACCAATTGATGTCTCTCTCTCATATCGATGTCTCCCTCTCTCTCTCTCTCTCTCTCTCTCTCTCTCTCTCTGGCTGCCCCTCTCCCTTCCACTTTAAAAGGAAAAAAAAAACAGAAATCCCATCAAATTCCTGTCTGGAGCAGCAGCTGAAGCCCAGGCGGCAAACGCGGAAACCATCTGACGCGGCCGAGCGGCCGCCCCGGCTCCCTCCCGCCCGGCGATGCTCACTCTTTCCAACCCTCTCGGCAGCCTGGAGCCAACACGGGGCCCGGCCCTCCCAGCCCTGGGGTCCAGGAAGAGAAGGGAGACAGACAGACACAGAGTCAGACAGAGGAGCCGGCAGTCAGACACACAGACAGACAGGACACAGAGACAAAGACGAAGGCAGAGAGACAGACACAGACACAGAGACACCCCCCACTGCCCCTCCCCGCAGGCACACAGAGGCAGGGACAGCCAGACAGACACAGAGACAGACACAGAGGAGAGGGGGCCCCCGGGAGCCACGAGGGGGACAGGGACGAGCAGACGGACTGGGGACCACGTGGGGCACCGACCCTCCCAAGCACCGACGGCCCCAGCCCCGTCCTGGAGAGCCGTGTGGGCCGACCAGGTGGGACCCACCCGTTCTCTGGGCTGACGGGCATTCGTGCCCGGACACCCCCCGCCCCCCGCGTGGGGCTCCGTCCCCAGGGAGGACGTCCGGCCCGGCTGGCGTGGCCCTGTGCCCGGGACATACATCCCACTCCAGGGAACAGCGATTCACGGGGCGCGTCCCTCCCAGGAGGCTGAGCAGCCAAGGGAGGAGGAACCAGACGCGGGTGCTGGGGGGCGGGGACAGCAGGCCCTGGGAGGAGGGAGGCAGCGGCCGCCCGGCAGACCAGAGGGGAAGCAGTGGCAGGACAGCCTGGCGGACAGGGCTGCGCTTCAGCGCCCTCCCCCGCTCCCCACGGCCACGGGCCAGTGGCTTCCGCCGAGCCTGGGACTCCGTCTACGCAGGTGGGACTTCCCGGGGCTAAGACAGTGCCTGACAGGCAGCCAGCACTCGCTTCGTGTGAGCTCGCCACACCATCACCACCACCGGGGACGCGCCCTGTGTGCCGGCTCCCAAGTGAAGGAGCCGCCTCGGCCTGAAATCCCACCATCCAGGCCCATCCTGCGTCAGGCAGAGAAGAGGATCCCGCAGGCCCGAGTGGACCCCTGCCCTCCACGGCCTGGCTCCCAGGCCCCAGCCACGCCCACCAGTGCCGCAGCGAGATGAGCGCTGATCTCGCCCGGCGGCTGGGAGGCCGTTCACGAGTGAATGTGTGTGTCCCCGTGGGTGTGGAGAGCCTCATGGAACTGCTCACACGCACAGCGGGGACACCCGCCACGCGGCCTCCGTCCCCGCCCCTCCCCAGGCGCCGGGTGAGCCTGGGGGACAGAAGCCCCTCAGTCTGCTTCCTCCGTGTAAGCGGAGGTCCCGGGAGCCGTCGGCTCACTGCCCTGTGTTTAGTGAACAGCAGAACCCCACCCCCCGCAGCAGCGAACCACAGGGCTGAGCTTCTGCACAGTCTCCACCATCACCTCTGTTTTTTAAAAAATATGTTTCTATTGATTTCAGAGAAGAAAGGAGAGGGAGAGAGAGAAACGTCAATGATGAGAGAGAATCATGGATCGGCTGCCTCCTGCACGCCCCCCACTGAAAATCGAGCCCACAACCCGGGCATGAGCCCTGACCTGGAATCAAACTGTGACCTCCTGGTTCCTAGGTCGACGCTCACCACTGAGCCACGCTGGCCGTGTTCGAGTTCCTCTTTTAAGGAGTGGAACCAAAGAGCGCTCCAGGACTTCGGGGGCGTGGCGGGCCTGCAGTCCGCACACTCTCTCCAGCCTCAGCCCTGACCCTCCTCTCGCTGCCCAGCCGCGGCCCACGCTGTGCCCCAACCTGCCCCCCGCACGCAGCACAACCGCAGCAGAAGCGCCGGGCCTTACCTTGGCCAGGTCCTCGGAGCCGCCGGGCTGGCTGGCGGCCAGCAGGGGTGCGGGCCGCAGCAGGGAGTCGGGCAGCAGCTCCAGGCGGGGGCGCTTGCTGTCCGTGAACTCCATCTCCGACTTGCCCAGCTCGGGCAGGTAGGAGTGCGACTCGGGGCGCAGGTGGAGCTCCTGGGACCTGTGGGGGGCGAGGGCACAAGCATCACCTCGACCGGCCGTCCTGCCGAGCGCCGGTCGGGCGCCCCGCCCTCCTCGATCCCACAGGAGAGGCGCCCGCTCGCCCAGGACGCACGGGACCCAAACCCAGACCCACGCACGGACTGCTGTCTGCAGGGAGAGTGGACCCGGACCCGCACACCCTCACTCCCGAGTGTGGCCCGGGGACCAGAGCGTCAGCCCCTCTCTCCCTACGTCCCCCACAGGCCCCCCGTCCCCGCCAAGCTGGTGACAGATGCTGAATCTTGAGTCCCAACTAGACCTGCTGAGTCACTGTCTGTGG